ATTGCCATGACTAAAGCGACTTGTGGAGACAATAGTTTGGCTTACACTCCTGCATCACAGTCCATCAATGAGGGGGGGGTCAGGATAGAATTAGAAGCAGGAATCCAGAGGCAGGAACAGAAGCAGAAACCATGGAGGAAGACTGCTGACTGGCTTGCTCCTCATGGCTGGCTTACCCTGCTTTTTATACAACTCAGGACTATCTGCCTATGGGTGTGACACTTTCACGGTGATCTGGACCTTTCCACATTAATCATTAATCAAAAAATTCACTACAGGCTTGCTGACAATCTGATAGAGGCATTTTCCCCATTGAGGTTCCTCTTCCCAAATAACTCTATCTTGGGTCAAGTTGACAGAAAACGAAACAAAACAAAATGCCAACTAACCAGCACAAGTCACTCCTTGCCTACTTGACATACAAACTTATCACTCATTAAACCACAACCTTTCCTCCCTGATTTGTCCTTAATATTTCATAACAATATCACAATCTAAAACTCATACCAGCTTTTAAAAATTCTACAGTCTCCAAAAATTCACAAAATTAAGAAAAAAGAGTCTCTCAACCATGGGCTCCTATAAAATCAGAAACAAGTTAGACAAGTTCTTACTCCTAGAGAAAACGATGAGTGCAAAGCCCAATCAAAGCAAAGCAAAAGCAAGACGCACAGGGTAAAAAGCTCAGTGTTTGACATCTGGAATCCACTCAGGACCCTCTGGGCTCCAAAGGGCATGGGCATCTCCACTTGTCTGGCTCAACCATCCACAGTACACCATTTGTCTCCTAGGCTCAGGCATGCTCCACTCCACACCTGCTGTTGGCTTTGGCAGTCAACACATGGTCAACAACCGACATCTCCCAGTCTTGGGGCCTTCATTGCCACTGACTCGCACCTTCACCAGTAGCCTCACCAGAACTCTCTTCAGGCTCTATGACCCAGACACAGGGTGTCAAGCCTCAACTTCTCTCCATGACCCCTTCATCCCTTCAAGACCAGCAGTACCTGGAAACTCTTACATACTACCAAACTGGGCTGCCAACCTATGGTACATCCTTGGCCACCTCTGGACTACAGCTTTTTTTTCTTTCATCATTTTTAAAATTTATTTTATATACCAACCACAGTTTCCTCTTATTCCCTCACCCCACCTCCCAGTACCCTTCTTCCCCATCTACTCCTCAAGTTTCCACTCAGATGGGATAAGACTTTTCATGGGAATCAACAAAGCATGGTATATCAAGCTGAGGCAGGACCAAGCTCCTCCCCCTTGCATCAAGGCTGAACAAGGCATCCCACCATAGGGAGTAGGTTTCAAAGAGCCAGCTCATGCATCAGGAACAGGTTCTGGGGCCCACAGAAGATTTCACCTCAATGATGCTGGTATTTTCTTCTTAATCACAACTTAGGCCCCTCTGACCAGTATCAATTAATTGTCCCAGAAAACCAAAGGTTTCACTTTAATGATTATCTACTCTTACTAATCACAACCAATTCTGCAGCCACCGGTTGGCCAAAACCATAGATAATTAATCCAAAATATTTTAACAGCCCCAGTAGAGTGTTGAAGGCCCTCTCAAGCTTTGCTGTGAAGCTTCAGAAGCCAGGCCTCAATGTCTCAATGTCTGCACTACATTATATTCTAAGTTCCCACAATCACTCATTAAGCATGGTGGTGAGGTTTGAAAGAAAATGGCACCCAAAGGGAGTGGCACTATTAGGAGGTGTGGCCTTTTTGGAAAAAGTGTGTCACTGGGAAGGTGGGCTTTGAGATATCTTTTTCTCAAGCTTCCCTCAGTGTGATAGTCAGTTGACTTCCTGTTGCCTACAAGATGTAGTACTCTCAGCTCAAGCACCACATCAGCCTACAACCGCTGCCATGCTCCCTGTCATGATCATAATAGGCGGGACCTCTGAAATTGTAAGTGAGCCACCCCAATTAAATGTTTCTTTATAAGAGTTGCCATGGAATTACTAATAATAATAGTTTAAAAAAAAAGAGTTGCCATGGGCATGGTATCTCTTCACAGCAGTAAAATCCCAAACTAAGGCAAGCTTCAAACACTCAATATCTAGCCCAAAGTACCAACGTCCTTCTACAAATCCTTCTAAAAACATGTTCAGGTCTCTCACAGCAGTATCTCATGATTGTAATATCAATTCTAGCCACAGCTAGGTTTCTATTAATGTGATAAAATGCCATGACCAAAAGCAAACTGGGGACAAAAGGGTTTATTTGGCTTATACTTCCACAACACAGTCTACCATAGGAGGTTGTCAGGACAGGAACTAAAGCAGGAACCTAGAGGCAAGAACGAAGAAGCCCACAGGGGAATTCTGTTTATTGGCTTGATGAGAACAGCTTGCTCAGACTGCTATCATCTACAAGCCAGGACCACCAGCCCAAAGGTGACACTTCCTACCATGAGCTGGGCTGTTCCACATGAATCACTAATTAAGATGCCCACAGACAATCTGAAGGAGGCATCTCCCAAACTGAGGTGCTTCTTCCAAATAACTTTAACTTCTGTCAAGTCAACAAAAACCCGAAGACGCAAGTTTCTGTCCTGTCTGGTCCCACAGCTGCTTTGCCCCAAATAAACAAGCAGATGCTATACTAAGTATAAAACTGTTGGCTGATGGGACTGTAGGTGAGGCTGGAATCCTGCATTATAGAAATGGCTTCTTAGAGAGCTGCTTCTCCTTGGAAGCTAACAGTGCTAACACAGGCACAGGTTTTCTCCACATCCTCCAGACCTCCAGAAAGCCCACTTGTTTCTAAACCTGTGACCCATGCCCTTTACCCCACTTTGAACAGGCTCCCTGGGAGAAGCTGGAAATCATCAATCACCCCCACACACACACACTTCTTTGTTTCTGAAACTTCCAGCACTGACTGCTCCCTCTCATAATAACCAGTGACATACTATGCCTGAAGAGTGGGTTGGGAGATCAGAACAGTGAACTTAGGTTTTCTATGTGGTACAGCCATTTCCCATGTGGATATGTGACTAGAGAGATGGGAACAGTGGGGAGGAGACATTGGCACACTTTGCTCATGTAGTTCTGTACCCAGCAGCTCAACTATTGAGACAATGAAGTGGCCCTTGATGGATGAGCAGAGGAGCACGAAGCAGCCCAGACACTGTGGGATATTACTCAGCCGTAAATGTGAAATCCTGCCACATGTTACAACACAGCATAATTTTGAAGACATTATGCTGAGTGAAACAAACCAGTTGCTTAAAGATGAACACAGTATGATTCCACACATCAAAGTTCTCAAGTGTAGGCAAATCCACAGAAATAGAAAATAGGATGGTGGGTTGTGGAGCTGCTGAATGGGGACATCGTTTCAGTTTGGGACAAGTAATAAGCTCTATAGATGCACGGGGGTGGGAGGCAGTTGCATATTGTGAGTGTAACATGCCCTAAATTCTATAACAGCAACGGGAATGAATGGGAGTAGTTAACCCATTCTACCTCTGGCATCACAAAGTGCTTCCTAACTGGGTAGCCCAACCTGTGCAACGCTCTCTGTGTGACAGCAACCCCACCCTGAGCCCTCAGCATAGTTCTCTGTGATTGTGGAGTAAGTTAGCCCTCCTCATCCAAGGGAAGTACTGGCTCCTGGTGTTCCTGAGATCCACACCTAGCTATATTCCTGTTTGAAGACTGGGGTTCTTGATGTCCTGCTTCCATACCTGTCCCTGAAGGCCAAGGCACCAAGCTAAGCCCCTGATGCCTTGAAAGCTGTCCCTTGGGGAAAAGTCCCCATCTCTTTTGTTTGTCACTTGGAAAAGGGGGAATTGCTGTCACAATTGCCACTTCTGGTCCCAGTGAGAAAGACTGTATCTGATGCTCTGCTGGCAGGATCCAGAGACCCCTCCCACTGTGAGTTCCCATGCCGTTGCAGACTTAGACACCCATTCTGTAAGTTTAAGTGTAAAAGCAAGCTATTTGGAATGTGGAGGGGACAGAGCTTTCTTTAAAATACACCACGGTTTCTTGCAAAGTGGACTCCCTGAGCATCCAGTATCACTTTATGCCAATCATACAAGCAACACAGTCCTTACATGTGATGGTCTGAAGAAAACTAAGAAAAATCCCTATTGAAAGATTTGCCGAGATTGGGTGTGATGGCCCAAATCTGTAAATCCCAGCACTCTGGAGCTTGTGGTAGGAATGGTACATGCTTTAGGCCAGCCTAGGCTATACAATAAATCCTGTTTCAAACAAACAAACAAACAAACAAACAAACAAGTTGGGGCTGACTCCATGACACATCTGTGTAGTATAACAGTCTGGAGTCATTCAGAGAACACCGGACCCCGCAGGTCTGCAAGCACATCGTGAAGTTGGACAGACAGCCCAGAGCCACACAGGGCTCTGTGTCTGAAGTCTGATGTTGGATTTACTCAACTTTCTACATCTCTGACCCTGGTGGCTCATCTGCTCTCGTGAGTGAAAGGATAACTCCCATCAATCGACCAACCACCCAAAGTGGCACCTTATGCCTAGAGTGACATCAAATGATATTCCCACATGAGATTGGCCTGAGCACTCATGGAAGAGGGGGCAACAGTTACTCTTGTTCTCCAAGAAAGGACCTGATGAGCCAGCATCTGCCTTAGTCTATGCTGTGCTGGCCCAAGGGCATCAACTCCTTCCGGTGAAGAGTGGAACAGCCGGCCAGCTTCCTTAGAGCAAATGAGGGCAGGTTCCAGCCTAGAGTCGGGGGGGGGGGGGGTTCTGCATGCAGCCTTTGAATTCTTATGTCTTTAACCTATCAACATAAGGGTCCAGGAAACCCTTTTCTCATGAGGGATTCACAAGTTATTTACTATTGTAAAAACATCAGCTTGGCTCCTTGCTTCTCACTGGTTCCAACCCCCAGACCAGACATGCTTAACAAGTTTCGCTGAGTTTCCCAATGACATAGTGAGTGGGACTCTGAGAAGTTCTTGTAACCCCCCCACCCCCTGCCAGATGCTTTACCTATGTCTTCTTCTGCTGGTCCAGGGAAGCTGAGGCCCGGCTGGGCCAAGTCTCCTGCTTCTTCCTCTGCAAGACACAAATGAAAACATGCTTACTACTGTTCTGCTGAATTTGCAGTCATTCCCCGTGCCAGAGACACTTGCCAGTCAGTGTGGTTCATGCATAGAGACACTGATATTAGTGCTCAGAACTGAGTGTTTTGTACAGACAACCTCAGAGCAACTGTCCCACGTGTGCCCCATTCTTCTTTGAGGTCCTTGCACAGAGTTTGCAAACACACCTTAGCTTCCCTGTGTAACTTTGGGTGTATTTGATCTTGTTAGCATCGGTATAGGCTGTTGAGATGTCCTGACCATTATTGGCCTGGTTTCCTTGAACCAGTCTGCATCCTCTGCAAAGAGAACGCCCTAATCTAGTGACTGCAGTTGTATGCATGCCATTCTTCCATGTTCACAGCCTACAGGGGATGCTCTAATGTTTCCTGTAAGTTCATTCTGAGTGGGTTTTGCTTGGGCATCATTTTCTCCTTGTGTGAGAGCCGCCATGCTCACTTTTAATTGCCTTCTCTAGCTGCACTGGGAGGATTACCACAAATCGAGACACCAGTGTCACTTCGATTCTGCCCTACATATATGGGGATACTGGGTGGGAAGGTGAATGGATATGTGTTCTTATCTATTCCATCGCCAGGGAGCATGACTGGTGTGTGGATCCCACCTCCATATCTGTACAGCACTCCAGGGTCTGTTTTCAGGAGCCGCCCTGCACCCATATGTGCTGAGTTCAGTGTCTGGCTGTCCTGCACTGACGTGTGATAAGCAATGTGCCATGCTCATCTGAACATGGAGATGCAGCTCAGACAGAGGGGCTCCTGCACCACATTGCATACATGCAACTGTCTCTATACACATGGGGTGTGCATCAAAATTATGTCATCATCATACACACAGAAGTATCCACCATTCTGCTATAGATTTTAAAACATTATGACATTTGTAGACTCCAGTATTAGTGCATTTGTGTCTGGGGGGGCTTCCAACATTGTCAGGGAGGCTCTAAATCTGAATATAGTCCTCCTCTGGCATGGAATACCACCAGCCATGTTACAGTGTGGTCATGATTGGACCTACACACTTGGCTATTACTACCTGTTACTGCATATTCTAACGGGGAAGAAAGAGGCAGGTTTGCCATGGAAAATGCTAAGGACCAAGCTAGAGTGTCCTCACATAGAGATGATGTCAAGTTTCACTTCATGGGCTCTCCTGACATTGAGAAACTATAGGTACACAATCGCAACCCACTGGATTCAGGTCCCATGTTTCATTAAAAGGGTTTATTGCACCTTTGTAGTATCCATCTGTGGAGTCTTTCTGCCTGGCCAACAGTGCTTTCTGCATACTCTATTGTGTTTTCCTACTAGCAGATAGGCATGCCTGCTAGGGATATGGTGGGTTCTGAGACACACTAAGGACTAGGAACCCAGACCCTGCACCATAGCAAGTTCTAACCAATCACGGTCTCCTTGGAGACAACTGCTTTATAGTGTAATCTCAAAGCTAGAAGGAACTCTGCTACAGACCCATAGACTCAGGTCCCACACATGTCCTCATTATAAACACACACACATATGCAAAGTAAGAGTTTTAATAGAAGAGATTTGAATGGGAGCTAGCGTCACATTGAAGGTTTAGACAACAACAATGCCAAGGAAAAGGACAGAGAGATTGTACAGAAAGGTGAGCAAGGCAGCATGCTGATCATACTATTGTGTTGGTGTCACAATTCCTAAGATGGAAGGAGGAAAGCTACTGTTTACTCTGAGAACAATGCCCCAAGCAGGGTAGGTAGGTGAGTTTTATGGTCAGCCCTGCCCTGAATTTTAGGCACAGGAGTGACTGTATAATTTACCTTCTCCCTTGTTCAGATTATGCTAACAGGAAGTCTTGGATATGGTTCAACAAAGGCCACGAGTAGAAGGTGAGCACATAGGTCTTTGTGTTTGGTGTCACCTCATGGCTCATAAAGTTTGCCTCGGTGTAGACGTGACGGCCCTTCCATGGCCAAACAGGTTTTTGATTTTCAGGCCAAGTTTTATTTCCCCTACATTCCTACTCCCAGTCCTGATATGTGCAGGCAGATGTTCTGCTCAGACAGCTGAGATGAGGGTCCCTGTCCTTTCCCTTCCTTCAATTCCAGGGTATGTACGGTGGGCACCAATGGGTGAGGGGTGGGATGCAAAGGACTGTCAAGTTAAATCACCATTCTAATTACATTAGAGATCCCATATCTGTCCCTTAAAAGGCTCAAAGACTATGAACACTGACTGATCATCACACCTGCTCCCCCCCCCCCCCGCCTCTCTGTCCTTGCACTTACTAAAGAAAATTACTTCACTCCAACTTTAATAACAAAAGGTAAGCCATACAATCTAAGAAAAAGGCTGTGGGGCAGAGGGGCTATGGTGCCATCAGCTGGCCCTGAGGCACCCTGAATCTGGGTGACTGCAAGTCTCCTTGCCCAGCCTCTTCATCTCCCAGTGTTCATGGACTCTGTTCTGGCTTTTCTGAGGAATCTCACCCCCTACTTCCTTATAAGGTGGAGATAGGAGGGGAGGGTCAGGTTGAGGTCAGAATTCTACTCCCCATGAACCATGCAAGCAAATGTGTGACATGTGTCTACAAGTCATTCCCATGTCACTACCCTTGGCTGGTTCTCTCTCTCTTTCTCTCTCTCTCTCTCTCTCTCTCTCTCTCTCTCTCTCTCTCTCTCTCACACACACACACACATATGTACACATTTTGGACCTTTTTGTGTGTGTGCCATGTACGGGTTATCCACAAGAGAAAGTGACCTTCTAGGTAGGGAGCCATAACTATGTATGTATCCCAGCATGTCTCCCTGTATCCTTGCCTATGTTCATGAAGCCATTGTCTGGGTGCATTGTGTGGTCCTAGGGACAGGGATAATAAGCTACCTCCAGTTCCAGTAATGGCATCATGCTCTGGATGAGCCACATGGGCCATGGCCATTACAGAGCTTGCATGGAGCCATTCAAGCTCAGTTTGCTGACTCGTCCACCCCATTCCACAGACTTTACATCCCAGATCCTCTGAGTTTTCTCAGAAGTTTCCTCTGAAGACAGCAAACCCAAGTCTACATTTTGGCCAATTTGCTAATGATAGCATCTGGAGGCCGCTTAAATGAAAGCTTCATTTCTGCTCAGCTAGTACAATGACACTGATGAGTCTTAATGCCGTTCCCTCTCATTTCAGCCACAGCTGTACCACCAGTCTGCAGCCAGCCTCTGCCTCAATGAGAACCCGGGCTTTTCATTTCCTTTTAATTTCTTTTGACAACACAGAGGGCTCATCATCCCATTTTGGACTGAAGATTAAGTCTCAGCAGAAGCTGCCCTGAAGTCTGCAGAATCTTTACCAGTAGTTCAATGTCACTTGAATCAGGCTAAGAGGAAAACTCAAAGGGCCTGATGAGGCCACTCCACTTGGCTGAAGATGACAAGAAGAGGCTCTCTCTCACAGCAGGTGGCATCCAGCACTGACAGATGAGTGTTAGCATTACAACCCACACATGTCAGGGTTGCCTCTGGTATTGCTTCCTGGCTTTGAGGGTGGGTGGGTCTAGTTCAGGTAGCCATGACCTGACTGTGCCTTCAAACAGACCTATAAAAAAAGCTCTGACTAAAATCAACACACACTTAATTTTGAATTTCCCTGGACAGAAAAGAGAGGGAGGGAGAGAGGGGGTGGGGGGAGTGCTGAGGTTAAAAAGGCAGACTTTGTTATTTAAACATTTGAAAGCTTGAAGAAGAGATTGTGTCTTCATTTAAACTTGAACACTATTCACTTGAAGAGTGATGTTATGTTTTATATCACATGTTTTAAACCCAAGTACCAAGTACATGAAATGTTTAAGTCCTTTGCACTACCTCAGTACTGAATAGGGTTTTAGATCAAAATGCCTTGAAGACATGCCTATCTATCATGTTTGTGTAGAAAACACTGGCTCACAGCCACAGCAAAGGTCATTTCACAGATTCAGGAAGTATGGCAGCTCAAAAGGAGTCACTGCTACTCTGAATCATGCCATACGACAGCCTCGGGGACCAGAATGAGGACTACTGAGCAGGTCTTCCTTAGTTGGGGGTTTCTATTTCTGTGATAAAACACCATGACCAAAAGTACCCGAGGGGGAAAGGGCTTATTTCACCTATGTGTCTTGATCACAGAATATCATGAAGGGAAGTCAGGGCAAGAACTCAAGCAGGGCAGGAACCTGGAGGCAGGAACTGAAGCAGAAGCCACACTACTTACTCGCCAGATCTTCATTGCTTTCTCAGCCTGCTTTCTTAGGGAACACAGGAAGATTATCCCCAGAGATCCCACCCAAAGTGACATAGACCTTCCCATATCAATCATTCATCAAGAAAATTTACCATAGGTCTGCCTACAGGCCAATCTGGAGGGAACATTTTCTCAATTGAGATTCTCTCTTCCAAAATAACTCTAATTTGTGTCAAGCAGACATGAATTTAGCCAGTATAAGGTCCTAGGAAGGCTACTGGACAATGTACAAGGCCTCAGATATGTGCCATTTCAGGGGATTGCTGTAGAGTTTCAGAATAAGTATGGATATCCCACTCAGTATCAATTGAATATAACTGGGAGTCTGTCACCATCATTGGCTGAATCTTGTCTTCTATTCCTGCTCATATGGAGGAGGACCTGGGAATTTCCTTTAATGGCTACATGGGAGAACATGAGATATGTTCAGGGAAATGCATCACTAGCCATCCAGAAAGGCTTCACTTTGTCTAGACTACCCCTACTCTGAGAATGTTGTAGCAATAACCTCAAGCTGGATGGAGGTCCTGAGATCTCTAGTCCATTCCAGACCCTCTCTGTAATACTGGCCTTATGCAGAAAAGCTACCACATACTTATTTTATTACTGTGGTTGTTTGAAAGAAAACAGCCCCCACAGGGACTGGACTATTAGGAGGGTGTGGCTTTATTGGAGTAGATGTGACCTTGTTGGAGGAAGTGT